GTTCTTCGTAAGGCATCTGGGGCCAAATAACCGATCAGTGCCCCTCCCACGCATGAGAGTTTAAGGGCAGGAGAGTTCAACGTTATGTTGGGACTGATATCCTGGATGGGGTTCAATCCATGATTTATCGCGTGACTGATTTAGAGGGACACCTTTCGCTCTCAAGCCATCTCCATTCAAAAACTCCTAACAATTACCGCGCCTGACAGCTGCTAGATTCTAGTAATCCCGACTTAACTGCTTTTTTTTTCAACTGCGGTGAGCCTTTCTCATTGCCTTCTCTCATCCCATGCTTGTCGGTACAAATTTTCCGTGAACGCTTTCCTGCCTATAAGGGTTTCTTGAAGGGATTGAGAAATGCAATGATTTTGTAGAGGTTTCGTTGGAGAGTCTATTTCCTAAGTGAATCGCTCCTCAATAGCATCAAAATGCCAGCCGTGACGACGAACCCGCAAAGGTTATGTCAGTTCGCTTATTGTTTGCCTTCGATCTCCAAAGCCAACAATTATCTCCATTCACCTGCGTGACGACGATGGGATGAACGCCGCGTTGGACTGCATTATTTAATGGTTGTGTAGTTGTAGTTGGAAGCCGCAATTGCGCGAACAAAAGAAGTGCTCACTCAAGAATGCCCCGCCCTCGCCCATGTCCGCTTATTGTTAGTTCAGCAGAAAATCGGCAACAGGCTTAGAAGTACACTTCAGCTGCAGTGGTTGAACAAATTACAATGAAGAAATCTGCTCGAGCGAGGTGGCGAAAAACGACAGAACGAAAAACTAATTTGAATAGTAAAGCAATGATCATAATAGCTATAGTGCAGGAATAAAGTTGATAGTTAGAAATTAATACATAATATTTAATAGTTACAAATTGTCAGGAGAATGTGATGGAACCGTATTTTGGTCCTTATCAATCACATAGAATGACAAAGAGAGCACAAAAGGTGTCATAAAAGAATAATGAATAAACGCAGATTTTGGGGTTACGCCATGTAAGCGTCTTCAGTTCGAATTCGTGGAATAATTAAAGGATAAAGGATAAAGCATTTGCCGTTGATCAATCCCTTTTTGGGATGCGGCACGCATTCTACTTCCATTTGTACATTCGTAGTGGCGTTTGAATGCGATGTGGCCTATACAATGACTTGCGGGGGCCAGCCGATGTACAAGTCAGTGTTTTTATCCTCCCAGACAAGTCTGGTACCAATTAACCGACCCCGGAGGGATGGAAGGCTTGGTTGGCCCGGGCGACTCACGACCCAGGATTTGATCCCCGGACCGCTCGCGTGGTAAGCGTGCCACTTGCCACTACACCACTTCCGCCCTAATCAGTTGTTTGTTATTATTCTTCGAGAACGTACAGACCTAACCAGGAAAGCTCATTAGGCCGGTCCGGCCATTTGTAATGAGCTCTATACCCTTGCACTCGCCTCGAGACGCTGAGCTCAAAACTGTCTTCCCGATCTGCTAAACGATTTTTTGAACGGAGTTATAAAGCAAGGAAGCGCAGCGTGTCTCGCAGGCGAGAGGTTGTGGGAACTGCTCGCAAACTCTGTCACTCTTGACATTGAGAAACAAAAAAGCAGGCTCCTCGGAAAACCGTACCCACCATCTCTTGACTGAGAGACCGCGGTACCACCGCTGCGCTTTCTTGCTTTATAACTCCGTTCAAAGAACCGTTCGAGCAGATAGTGAAGGCAATTTGAGCTCAGGGTTCGAGGCGAGTGCAACGGTATACACCTCACTGCTAATAGCCGGACCGACTGATGACCTTCCTGGTAAGGAATTTTTAGATGTTTCAAACAGCTCCTTGTCCAGGTTGTGCGCATGAATTACAACTTACATAACAGCACTCTTTATAGTCACAAGCTGTTTCAGGTGTAACTAATGAAGTTTTTATCATAGCATATAATTTATTGTTTTGAGGGGTAGCAGCGTAAGCTAGAGGCTTGCCTAGCATCCGATGATTCTAGATCTCATTTCCGGTGAGGTCTCTGCACTGGAGGATTCACAAATCTCTTCGAGGTATATAAAATTATGGGGGCGGGGTTAGAAGTCGATCATGTAGTAGTCTATGGAGAGAGTTAGCTCATTACGATATCATTCGCGGTGCAGTTCCTTTCAAACGATCGGCGTGTACTGCTTCTCCTACATTCACCTTTTTCATTGCTGATTCTGTACCAATTTTATTTATCTATTTGCTTTATTTAACTTACTCAAATTTCAAGGTTTAAGACAGCTCGCACCACTGCTCGAGAATAGCTGAGCTCTCAAGCTGGGTCCAAAGCTTTCGCACCCTTAATGGCTCCTGGACCGATCCTAGAATTCATAAATATTGGAGAGCGACCAGCACCACTTGGGTGGCAATCTCGGACCACTCCAGCTGGGATGTTGCCAATAACATGACGCAATCTGTCGCCCAGCGCCAAACGTCTCTGCTGAACCGGCTTTCACCCAGTCAATTGATCCCAGCCATCATGGCATTGTCCGTCAGCCGTCAATCCTCGGCACGACGCCAATCTCGTGTCCAAATCGCCATTATAATAATCTCGGCGGAAGGGAAAGGGAGGACTGCTGTTATATTACTATGTTACTGCACTTCTGATCCAGGCGGGGCAAAAGGGCCTGATAGCAGCCGTCTTTTCGGGGGTGAATAGGCATCTTCTAGCGCAGTCAATTTCTCACAAGTCCAAACAGGGTTACGCCACGGGGTAAAATATGTGAGCGCTACTCGGATCTATTATTAGCCTTGGTGAAATTTCTGGAAGGTTTGCTTTTGTTTCGCGCCAGGGTCTGGGCTACATCTGTCGCCAACCATGCAACAAGCCATTGAAATAACCGAGACTCTCTCGAGGACCCCGTAATCAAAGGAACATTATCCAATTAGAGACGTCCTTGACTGGCATCGTTTTCATGAGCCCAGCGCTCAATTATGCATAGGTCAAGCACACGTCAATCCGCTGTGTCAGGCTGACAAAAGACGTCTTTTGAAGGGCGGAAATTCGGCAACAGATACGGTAATTAGCAGCTGTTGTGAGGCGCGAGTTCGTTGGTGATTTCTTGACGGAGCAGGAAGCGCCTCATCTAATGCGCAGCAGATGTGAGCAGCAGCTGAGAGCGGCTTCCGACAGGCGAGCCGGGGCGACTCATGCTTCCTACGATGTCGGGATGTCTTTAAATGGACCGCCATGCAAATTTATAGCCCATCGTATTGTAGATCGGAAATGGAGATAGAGATTGGGATAGGGGACCCATGAGGATGATATTGGAGAGAGATTGCGATAGTTAGTTTCCCACAAAAAATCGTGGTTGTTCTCTTAAGAAAGGTTTTAAAAAAATGAAGAGGTGGAAAGTGGAAAACGACGAATGCTAAAATTCAGAGAGGGTTTGAATGGAGTTGACTATAGAGATACTGTGTATGGGCAAAGAAATAGGGTACGAGGGACCATATGAACCGCGTGTCAAGGAGGTTTCTCGGATACGACCGTTCCTCCCTTTCTCGCCTCCCCAGCAGGATTTCTACATCCTGTCTTGTCAACCTTACCACAGGACCAATACAACCCAGGAAATTGACTATGAGGTTCATCTTCCTCCTCCTAGTTCACCTTCGTATTACTTCCACCCTACTCGGATCTTGACTGAGTATACCCAAAATATGTTGTGTAATTCTCAAAATGTCGTAAAATTCTCTACCAAAACTCACCCGAAGCGATCCCTTCTCTACGCTACCCAATCGAGGATTTCTCAGTGTATACTTGCCCTGGTGACGAATCAAACCCCACCCGACTATACACAATATTTCAAGCGGATTACGTCAACCATAATTCTTTCTCTTCCGGGGTTTCCTTGATTTTGACGTTCACGGTTCCATTGCATGACTGCGCCAATTTCGGTACCGATATCCAATTAAGGGCTTCTCATGTAGTAAGCGTTTGATTTGCCACAAAAAAGGATCATTGGCGCTATCGTAATAGAAGGGGACATTGTGATGACAGTGCCTTTGAAACCGCGCAAAGCATGTCTTTTTTTGGGCTAAGCATGAGCTCTAGACACGGGGAGGTGAAAGTCCAAGGTGAGTGAGCCATTTTCACTTTCTCTGGACTCGTGCCCTTCCTAGGCTCAGTCCTAGAGGATGCTCCCTATATTGCGATAGCGCCGGCTCATCTTCGGGAGTTATGTGGTCTGGTTTACGGAAAAAGCGTCTTTTTGCAATAATTAGTATTTTCGCTTCTGCAACTTCTGTGGATTTAGGTAGTGAAATATGTCTGCTTTTTCATGTCCTCCGATGTTGGGATGCAATGAGGCGGCGACAAACCTATCCATCATCGGCCACCAGAGAGGGTTTTCCATGTTGTACTTTTCATTTCCAGGGATTTGAACTGGCAATCAAACGTTTTTTGAAGCCCGAGTTGTGTTTTCAAGAAAATTCCTGCTTCGGTTACTGCTTTTGAAGGGAAGTTACAGCGATGTTCGATTTGAAACTCATAGAGCACAAAATTGCAAAGTATGGGCAAAATTGGGTTTGAAGGAAAACGGTCGTTTGTCTTAATTATTGTAATAATTGACTCTTTGCTCAATTTCTCCGGATCTTCTTGAAAAGTTCGAGATGTTTGAAAATCAAATTTTTTTGAGCCTCTCAATTGAGCAAATTTGAAAAATAATGAATTTTAGATTAATAACTATTAAAAGGCTTCATTTTTCTATCAAAACCCGCATTTCTATAGTCGCATCCGGGCAGCTGACAATGCCGCTACTCAATTGGAATTACCCAGTAAATCCTTGCCAATAAAATTTTATTGTATGTCCTGGCGTATCTGTGCGGCACATTGCCGACTTGTGCCCTTTGAACGGCCATCAGCCCGTTCCGTCCATAAAATCACCCTCAGACGTCTCCGAGAATCGCTCGCTCGTCATCAATTTCTCTTTTGCAGGAACTGGACGTGTCATTCAATCCGCTCGAATGCGCTTGCCCTCTGTGGGAGTTCATTGGGTGGGCCGAGAGTTTGGCGCTGTTCCAGGAGGATTCGTTGCCCTGCCAACGACCGAAAAGTTTGCGCAGAAGCCTCACAGCTGCTGAACAGGTCCGTCTATCACCTTCGGAGCCCATGGGCTATTCCTTTTGGCTCGCACACCCTAATAGATGTATGTCCGAACGGCGCTACGCTGTTCGTCTGCTCGTTTGTCATCTTATTGAGGGTTTTAATCGCTGATGTGTTTCGATGTGGACGATTCATTAACCCGCACCATTAGGCAAATGAGCATCGATGAGGGCCAATATATGTATACACAACATCCCCTCCATATGTAATCCCTAATTTCCAACCCGTGGCTCGCTAAAAGGGTGTTTAGGGATATATTGTGGTCCAACGAGGTTTCACTGTCATTCGAAGCATCACCATTTGCTTTCCGATTTCTGAAGACCAGGTGGGAATAATTCGCTTCCATCACAGTGAAGCCTAGCTCTTCCTCCATTTCCGGCCAAGAAATTTTTAGAAATCCGCTGCGATTTCCATATAAGGTGGTCAGGCTTTCGTAGTCCTCTCCTCACAAGGGAAGGATGTAGATCGAAGTGGCCATTTGAAATAGGGTACACATTTTCTCATACGTGTCCGAGGGGTAACCTCAAAAATGTATTCCCATTCCATATTTGCTGAACGATTTCCTGAACAAAGTGTGTCAGTGTTGTCAATTCGTATGCTTTTCTAGCAAATTAGCCCACTTTCAGATGATCTGCGGCCCTGAAGTGGTAGGATCGCCATTCGTGGACCAAATGACTCTCTCCCTGGGTGAATCTCACCGAATGTGCTGTCTCATCTCCGCACATCCGAAACCGTTCATGTGGTGGGAACACGAGCGGAAAAACATCACGAAGGTCGGTCCAAAGCTTAACGTTCTGAATATCTTCCATTTCTCGTAGCATAAATCTCAGAGTGTGGCCGTCCATGCAAATGCACTCTGTGGCTCGAATGGGGTGATAGCGGAAATGAGGGTTAGAATTTCCATGTTTGCACATTGCAAGCCGAGACTGGCGCCACGGCGTGAAACATGTGCTCAGGCGCTGGGGACTTGCCGAAACCCCTCGATGGGGATGAGAAGAGGAGTGCCGGAATTCTTTCACGGTTATAATAAGACCCAAAAACTGTCGCCATCCTAAAGGACGTTCAGGGAAATCTAAAAATTCAAAACTTTTATTTATAATTCACACGCAGCTGTGAATTCGTGGATTTCCAACATCTCTTCCCCACAAAAGCCAGCGATCCCATCTCCGCGCAGGAGCATCAATGAATACCCTCAGCAGAAAAACATCTATTTCTGTGTATTAGTCTTCCATGATGCTTCTCATTTTCTTTCTGGTCTCATTTTATTTCTTTCGACTGTTTTCAACGGAAAACCCTCTCGTAGAAAGCCCACTTCTATCCCCACTTCTATCAAAGTTCCTTGGGAGCAGGGTATACACCTCGTTGTGTCAAAATACAGAGTCATTCAAAAATTTCCCGATCTCCCTTTCTAGGAGCCCTCGACAAAACTTCCCCTACCATCACCAGCTTTGAAAGGGTCCCTCTAAAAAACTTTCTCCATAAATGCTGTCGTCACACCCCTACTAGAACTCGAATACGACCCCTTCTCACATTCACGGCTACACAAAGTCGGAAATGTGATCCCCCTTAAGCCCCTCCCCCAAAAATTTCGTTGTTCCCCGCGCAGAGGACAGTTTCTTCTGTTTGGAAACCTCTACTCTCTCCTGAACGAAAGTGTTTGAACTTCCTTTCATTTCGACTTCGACATTTCGAGAGGGTGATGTCGGGGTTAAGGTATGGATCTATAAGTTTTGATGGCTTGTCAGGTAAGAAAAATTTAATAGGATCTCTCCATTGAAGGTGTAGAAAGCTGGGATTGGGTTAACTCTGTCGTGTGCATCTCACAGGAGGAGTGACTCTGTGTAGTTAGTGTTCTTCTGCGAGTACTTCGTAGAATCGCGCAGCAGACGTCCAAAATTCATTATATCTACTAGAGTTGCTTACAAACAACTATACGGCCAGGGAGGGGAGTGGGAAGAAACCTGTGCAAAAAAATAGTGGGATATCACTCGACATGCTATTCCATCGTCCCACGCAGCCTAAAGGTTCGCATTGGTGGAGCATCAATGTCGCCAGCGTTGATCTGAGCCATCAGAGTAAGCTGCGGCTGTATGTTTTCAGTGCAAAAGCATAAATAAAGATTCCTGCATGAGAAGGGCTCATACTGCGGCCAGGGGAGGATCAATACACCAGGTTATGGCTTATTTCCATGTTCAAAAGTGATTATTTTCAATAATTCAGAGTGCATCCCAGAGAAGGCTATCGGAGTCAGGTCAAATCGAGTTCTGTCTCGACATCCAATCCATAGACGTAGCGGATCTCGGTGTGTACAGATGCTATGCTCAGCTTGAAGGTAATCATATAATAGTTATTTGGGAAATAACTCTAAAAAGGAGTGGCCAGGCAACAGGCAAAAAATGAATAAAGCTTTAGAGCAGTATTTCGAAATAAAGATGGTAGAAGTATCTCACCACCAATTCGCTTCATGTTTGCACAAGCCTTCTATCCTAGTATTATATGCACTAATTGATGCCTTGCCCTGAGGCGATTTTCCTATTAGGCAGTAATTAAAGCAATTAGACCGAATTGGTTCCAAATCCTCTCTAGAAATCACGATTCGCCGTTTAGATGTCGTCACGTCAAAGGAATTCCATGTGAACAGGGTGCAGGAGCCGTTGGTACTGAAATCACCGCCGAACATCCTCTTCTATTGTCAATTCAGCTTCGGATTGTTTATTTTTGTGAGTTTCACTAACTTTGTCTCTTATGTAACGCACAGGAACCCCTTACAAGCAGAGTCAACGGTGCGTTGCGCAGTTCTCTACCGGGGAGGGAGAGGGTTGTATCGAGTTTTTTGGAGTAGCTCGTACGTACATGTATTTGGGGTTCGTGAAGGCCAAAAGGTTGGAAAGAGGGGTCGTATTTGTGAAAGTTGGAAAGGTGGTGGCGGCGGGAAAGGGAGCGTTTTGGAAGGGTCTTCATAAAAGCACCGGAAAAAATTGTAAAGTAAGCATAAAGTGAGTAAAATTAGAGGGTTGCCGCTTTTACAAGAACACCCCCTCCCCGTTCAACGGCGGTCTTGAAGATAAAAAAATGCACAGAAGAGCGGGGGGACGTATGGATAGGAAAACTGCTCTAAGGCTTATGGGGTGAAGGGTCGTGTCGTACCTCTGGCACTCTCTCCTCAGTGGGGCACTCAAAACAGAGCCGATGTAGGTGACACTAGGACTAAGCCCAGGAGAGGGGAGAAACGCCAGGGAGAACACAAATTGCTCACATTCTCCCCAGAATCCCTTCCCCTCCCTAGGCTTAGTTCCAAGCACAGTAATTGGCTCACTCACTTGATGTTCCCCCCCCCCCCCCTCCCCTCTCCCTCATGACATGAGCGCAGAACCCCTATCAGAAAAGGGTCGCCGCGTTTTTGGAAATGGCTGCTCTTAAGTCATGCTTCGTGCTTCTAGAAGAAAGCAGTTGGTCTAACAATGAGCGATGAATTGCTTAGAATGCTCTTTACCAGGCCCTCCGATAAGTGTGGCGCGATCTCATTAGCACCGGCATTTCGCTTCCATCAGATCTTCTTCTTTAAAGGAAGCGATCACGCTGGCTTCCACGCTGGATTTGCTACCCTCGCGTTATCAATCGATAAGGTGTGAGGCAGTAATTGTTGGACGAGTGTAAGCCCATGGAAGATATGATACGATGAGATAAGAAGGTGCGGCTGCTTGATAAGAGGTGCACTCCAGAATGAAAACGGGACGATAACGATAACGGTATCATATCTAGCACGCTCTTATCGCACCCCTTTCCACATCGATAAGTCTTGGTTTTTGCTGAACGGAAGTGGATTTCGGCGCCTTATCACTCCGTTGATAAGGCGCCACTGCCACTGAAACTTCACGTGTTGTAACACTGGGCAGGACCTCTATCCACTCCAATACATAGCTTCCCTTATCGTTCCCATGAAAATTATCGTGACCACTTCCTTTAAGGCACAACAACTACTAGAATTTCATGGCTGTAAGGCGCAATGGAAACCGGGTGCATAAACAAAGAAGCTGCCACGCGACCTGGTGCGACTTGCAGTCCAAAGTGCGAGACTGTCTCGGATGTTGAGTGTCCTACGCTCCGTATCCCACCTTTATAGTGATCTATCAGCGGGAACAAGAAGCCTTTTGTTGCAGTAATAATATGCCGTGTATTACAGAATACACAATATCCGTGCCAGGCGCAAAATTTGAGCTGCAAGTGGTGCGACGTCGCTTGTTGACTTTTTGTTACAAAGCCTGAAACCAACGCTGCACAAGACCTCTATGTACTAGAATTCTAGAGAATCCTTTGCTAAGATTTCTGTTATTCTATACTTCAGGTTTTCCCCATAGTTTCAAAGCTCGAACCTCCAGGAGGTTTGAGTGTCCCTTCTCTCAATTTCTCTTGTTTCATTTCTCACTATTGTCCTTTGTATTTCACAGCTTAAAGGCACGCTCCACGATTAGGCGCGCTTGCCTCTTCCATCCCGGGGGTAGTAGGCAGGCGGACAAGTGTTGTTGTCGCACCCTTTTGCCGCTTGAAAGTGCGCGACAAAGGCACAAGCAGCTCGTCCGACCTGCAACTCACACCTTCGTCCGCAAGCCCCACCCTCCGCTGTCCGTTGCCACGTGGCGCTGCTTGAAAAGCGCGGGCGCATTTGAGGCAGCGGTCCCACCGCGATCCTGTGTCAATGGCACTGGAGCAACTAGAGTCAGGCTCGCGAAACTCGTCCAACGCGCCTTTTCTCTATCCCAAGGTGGAATGTTGCTGAAATAGGGGAGGTTTCTGTACGGGGCGTAATCTGTGATTTCGTTTGCTTTCCTTCTCTTTTATAGACCACCTCCCACCTCTAGTATCATGACTGAACGCTTTTAGACACCTATTTTATTCCCGAATCTTGCCTTTAAGTATGTTCCATTGCAGTTAATGCGAAATACCGTATCTCAAGCATTTTTCAAGCTAAAGTTCAACCTCCAAGAACTGTCCGTGCTTCATCTCAACTCGTACGTTATAGTTACAGGCGTTTTGCTGTGCGACTTGCTGTATTCTCAGACGTGGTCGACCAATGAAAACTGGTCCAAAGAAGGACAGTCACTGCCATACGGTAAGGCTAGACGCTCTTATAACATCTAATCAGTAGAGCGATTACAGTAAGTCGAGACCCGCACATTTAGAATCAGTGAGCCCGAGTAGACATAGCTGGCTCTGTGAATCGTTAGCTATATGGAGTTATCCGCAACCCGTTCTAAAATTGACAGTTCAGTAATTTCTTTTAGCTTGAAGGATTCTGTAATAAGGTCGAGGGTCGAAAAGGGAGGAAACTTAACCCAGTAGGAGAGCATGGCGGCGCCATTAAGGGGTCCAGACTGACACGCAATTTGCAGCGAAGGATATGCCGCGGCGATCTAGCATGGCCCTTCTCGCTGCGCTATCGGTGCGCTACGCCTCTCTCTAGCTGTCTGACCTTCTAGCCGTTTAGCAAGAGAGCGTAGCTTTGAAGAGGGCAACCGATGAAAGTCGCATCGATGGGGAAATCTACGGTCAAGCAAGAGGACCCCTTTCTTGGGTTCCCGGACAATTTATCGTGGTTTGCTCCATCCCTGCACCAGTGAGTATCTCTAACCCTATTTGTAACCTTTGAGGAGCTAGCCTTTTCATCGTAAAATCCGCCTTTGATCCGCCCTACCCAACCAATCCTCCAATGACATGTGATCCGCAGGTCTTATAATGATCATAGTTGGAGTTCTGTCTTGGTTTTAGACGTACCTATAGAAACTACATCAGCCTAGAGCGCACTATGTGTTATTACAAAGTGATTTGAAGCATCCACTCGGATGACACTCTTTTCTTACCCATGAAATAAAACCAATCGGATATTTTCTGGATCAAATTCTATCATTTTCGGAGTTCTGGGGTCGATTCAAGGAAAATATGGCTGTGTAGCGGATAGAATCGCAATGTAGCAAAAAGCAACTCATAAAATATGCATAACGAATATAAATGCAATCAGCGACGTGCATAATAACGAAAATAAACGGCGGGGGGGAAATAAACAATGGAATCTAGGAAAAGCCGCCCCTCCAGAAACCGCGCCAAAGCCCGCAAGAGTATGAAAAGTTTTAAAAGAGAAAGAAAGTTAGAGGGAAGGGAAGTGGGAGATAAAGAGAAAAAAATGATCGTTCATGAGTTCAACCAAACAAATCGTTTTCTACGTCGTACGATTGTCAAGGAAATTGAGGAAAAAGCTGAGCGTTCAATGAAAGGCCCTCTAAAATGCGTCATGTAACCTCATTTACTCCGAGCTATACTGGATTGGGTTCTCCACTATTTTGGCCATCAATTAGAAATGTCTTGACACTACTAGGCCACGTTATTGCTCCGAAGCATGGGTCCAGAACTTACTAACTGCACTACCTTGCTCCAAAATTCATTATGGTGCACTGAAACTAACTTATTTATTTATTGGGTTTATATTTTTTATTAGCCTTCAAATATTTTTTAGGTTGTTCACATCATGGAAGACAAGAACCAAAGTGCGAGTAGACAGACACCCCTCTGCTGTACCCTGACGCACTGTCCACACGCCAGAAGATTACGTAGGCGGCCGAGTCAGACCGTAGACAACGACTGTTTGGCGCCGGCGTACTCATACGCCGAAGCACGACGATGTCTTCAACCGTCACCACCTCCCGACGACGTCACCCAGCGACGGATTTCCCTTTGGCGACATCGCATCGCTGCCATGCCGGCACCATTGGCGCAGTTTGACAAAGAGACCAACATCATGGGCATTGTGCACACTTCGGTCTAGCGCTGGAACTCCTAACCAGAGGTATCGCCAGTTTCACTTCTATCAGCTCAATAAATCGACATTACATTGGCTCCTTGCCCAAAATTTGGCGCGAGAAAAGCGATAGGTGTATCTTTACCGGCTTGTTCTACGGCACAAGCAAAATATCCGCTGCTGCCTCAACTGTGCGCACGCTGCGCCAAATCGTCCATCGAACACGAATACCGCAACGCGTGACGCAACGCACCTTTGCATCCAGTAAAACAAAAGATTTCTCTTTACACTATAGCCACCAATCAGGGATAAGAACGCGATTCAATGTCAAATATTTACGTCTGCAAAGAAATAGTGCAATTTTGGAGCAAGTAGAACCGTCGTAGTTTCTGTGGTCCCACCAATCCTTTCAGTGTTCCGATTCCTCGAATTCTTACCGATTTTTCGCTCAGCTCAACTCTTCGCTCTTCTCTTTCCCCAGGACTTTCCGTACACTTTCGCTCCGCGTTTTTCACGTGTACTGTGCCTTTCTGTTAACAATTACAAAAAATGTAATTTTATTACATTTTGATCATCCATGTACCCTTACGAATAAATACATTACTCACTTCAAAAAATCATGTATCACAGTTCCATAACTGAAGAATGAAAAAGGAAGCTATTTACACAAATGACTAGTCAATGGAGTCTCTGGAAAACAGTCGAGCAGTTTCTTCGTCCACCAGCTGCACACTTACTATCACAGAAAAACTTTGACAACAACTAGAAAAAAGCGAACACCAAACCCATCAATTTGCACAAATCTTCAAAACCATAGTAGAATCAGCGTAAAGGAATAGGAAAGTAGGGTAAAGAGCATTGGAAGAACACCTAAAAAGAAGGACCGTTTCGAGCTTACTACATAATTCACATATAAGGAGCAACGATATCTTCTTCCACCCACAACGCAGGGTCTATTAGTTTAGACGGATGACACTGATCATTCACAACCAATAAAACTGCCAATATTGGGACTCCAACGAAAGAAAATGGAATGAGCTAACAGTCCCAAACAGGGCAGGACACGATAGAAAACACAATACATACTAGCCCAGATCTAAAGCTAATTATTGACCGACCGTTTGAGGCACAGCCGTCACTCAAGCGGCGAACGTTCACTGGTTCGCGAAATGTTATCGGCACTTGAAATGTGAGTTTAACATGGGAGAATTGGCACCACGGGAGCTTGAAGGCGGTGAGGATGTTGAGGTTCTAAGGATGAGTCGAGCCAAATGAGAATGGCCAACACTTGAGAGTAATTCCACCACGTCCGGCCATTCACGCTGACTGCTTGAGCGTACATAAATTGGGTTCTAAAGATAGAACTTCTTTGAAAAAACCTACGGTAAACCTCTCAATAAATAGGAAACTCTTAAAAAAGAGGAACTCAAACTCAAAAAACGTAAGCAGCCACAAAAAAAAAGAATCAAAATTCAATCGGAGCATTGGTAGCAATTCCTCGAATACGTAATGCTCCTTCTTTCATCCAATATGTGCCTTCGATCTAACAGATGAGACACCAAATTGCGATAGAGGGTATGAAATACTTACTTTTTGGTCGAAAGATAAATGAGTTATCCATTTGCTGAGCACATCTTCCGAATCTTCTAAACCCATCTGAAAGTGATGCATTGTGATGGGGAAATAGAAGGAAACTAGCCTCAATTTGAAATCTTAAAAAAACCGCAAAGAAATTCTCAAAACAAACTTTGGCATATATAATACTCTTATTCCACTGCCGTTGTGACTGGAGATATTTGCAAGCATCACCTCCAGCTTTCACTAGGAACAGCAACTCGACACCATCTGAACACAACAACTTCGTAGCACTAATGGTAAGGGCAGTAGTTCTCTTTGCGAGCTTTCACAAAAATGACTGATCACTTTAAAGAATAAGCCTCTTCGAAAAAATTCAAACCATACTTCACTGCAGACGTTACAGATTGACAAGGATTGGACTTACCTTCAATCATATCGGAGGCAATAAGATTTGTAGCAATCAATTTAATCAGTGATCGAGCTTGTTCACATTCCTGAATTGCCATGAGAATTGTTCAGTACGTTTACGATTAGCACAGCTATTTGCACCAAATGAGTTGAACTTATGGAAATCAAACGATCAATTTTATTAATCGAAAACGAGTTGATGAAAAAGTGAAGTGAACTTCTCACCTGACTAGAAACCAAAAGGGCAGCTTTCATGCTAGCATGGCGTAAATCAGTGGAACCAATCAAGCGATCTACAGCTCGCTCCTGCAATATTAACATCCTGCACATTGCTGCAAAATTCAAAGCAATCGTTGACAGATTATTTGAAAGTTCCGTTTAAACCAAGCAATACCTTCGCCTTTCCGCCAGCCACCACAGCCCTTTCTACCAATCGGCTTTCTTCAACATTCGCAGCCCCACATGCAGCACATGTCACACGTAATTCTCGTTCCTATAACAACTTATAGATTCATCAAAATGAATAGAAATCTGAATAATGCGTGAGCTATATTGAAGTAATACAAAATTAATTGGGTTGAACCTCCTGAATAACCCCTTAAAATTCGAAATTAAGAAAAGTGCGCAACAAGAGTAATCTAAATCCTTGGTGCTCGAAATAATCCTCACCCGGAAAGAGGAGCTAGGCCAAAATATCTGCAAATCTGGTGGAAGCTGCAGCTCATCATCCGTCGAGAGCGATGAGCACGAGATAGCGAGCAGATTGTATACGGCGACATCGCCAACGAACCGGCTCCACAGCATTTGATTCTTCAAGCCTGACAGATCTACCACATCTCCTGATCCTGCTGTAGAGACTGAAGAGACCTGTAGTGAAGGAGCAGTGCAGTGCTGAATCGTCTCCACAAAATATCAAGACGGAAGAAAACAAGTGAACAAAAGAGAAGCAAAGCTCACAACTCACCTTTCTCTGCACAACTTGGGAGAGCGCTTCGTTCTCACTCGCCGAAAGGTCAAATTCGTTTTTGAGATGAGCAACTTTCTTAGAGTTCAACAACAATGGAATGTCTGGAACAAGAAAAATGAGAAATGAAAGAATGAAAACACTATTGAAAAAACGCTAGCACAGCAGTTCAGAAGTATTACATGCAAAAATTTAACCCTGGAAGCAAGGGTTTGGGACAAAATAATACTAGAACTGGGAAAAAGATCAGGTCTGAAAATTATTAATATTAACACTGCACCTAACGCAGGATACACAACCAATTTCATAGTTAGATGGGATTACGCTTAATACGACATTCATTCGGGAAAGAATGATCCGAATTCCCATGAAAGACTGCTTTAGAAATTGACAGAAATTTAGAGCATGTCATTAAATATACATTGATAAAAAAACTTACCTTTCTCCAGCATTGGCGAGTTCTTCGCAGAGCCGGGAGCGTAGCGCAATACATTGTCATTCGTAAGAAGCAATGGCGACACTCCACACAAGTCCATGTCCAAGGCAGATCGCGTTGAATCCAATGTTACCTGGTGCTGTCGCGTCAAAGCCTCCGTGTCCCACAGCGACAACTCCCTACACAAAGACTTTCCATCTTCGGTATGAAATGTATTTTACCAGCACTATAGAATTAAAAGGTCTCAAGATAAATTACTAACAAACCGTTGATGCAGAACAGCGAGTGTGTGGTCTCCAGCTAGGCGAGAAAATGTCATCCGGACTACAGGAAACCGAGATGCGCGAACGTGACGAGACTGGCGACGGCCAAGATCCCATATCTAAGAACACAATAATACTGCAGTAATGCGTATAAATGTAAAAGTGGAACAACCAACTCACTACTACTCGACCTTCGGCATCTCCCATCGCCAGCATATCATCTTTCCATGCCATTGTTCGTATCGACCAACCACCGCTCTTCCACTGAATATTTTGTACTTCATTGCTTAGATCGGATTCGAACTTATACCCTTCCCAGAAGAAAGCAAGCTTACCGTCCCGTCCTAGGTGAAAACTTATTTCCGAAAGAGCTCTCCCAATGGTACCCCAACTCAAGATTTAAGCTTTATTGCACACGAAAACACACACAAACCTACCAATACTTGACCTAATGTAGACGCTACCGTATGCGGATCGTTTGCGACAAAATACTGTAAAGTTGACGCGAGAACACTACTTGTTAGTAGAAGCGTTATCCATTTCGAAAAAAAAACAGCCCAAACCTATCATTCCGTACCTGGGTGTTCACCTCTTTGCCGTCTTTCACATGAAGCCCTTTGACCACGACATGATACAGACGATTATCTAAGAAAAATTGGTTTCGTCGAGGATCGTCGGAACAATGGCAATCACATGAAATGATTGTTAGAACAATGAAACAAATGCAAATAGTGGTAAAGTGGTAGAGTTTAGTGGTAAAGTTTAGCAGCACTGAAAGATTGCAGACAATTATTGCACGAAAAACTACACATGAAAGAAAAATCTACAAGCAAATGTCAAAAAAATCACCCGAATCCAGCACTACAAGATTTTCTCGGTATACGCTCAATCCGCCATCTTCGATTGTCTTTATGCCATGATGTTTGCATGACCACGCCTTAATGTGTACAGTTTTACCAGACACGGATGGCGCAGCATCAACAGCTTTCTTGCCATTTCATTCACATATCGCAACAACTGTTCAGAAATATTGGACAAAAAACTAACAGCCATACCAAGTTAGTCCACACGACAATTCGTATAGCTCATAAAAAACAACAAACAGTAAAGAAGTTTATCTAACACTTACCATATCCACAATCAAAGGACATGTTTTGCTCATCCTTCGCAGAAGCCGAAACCCTTTGAGATCCCAGATTTCCAGAGGTTCACGTTGAAAAGCTAAAGCTAAGTAGCACCTGAAATGTGGAGGTCCTTTCCCGCAAGAATACCACAAAAACTAGTGAATTACTGGACCATCTCGTAAGGAAAACCTACTGATAAAATGAAACTCGCAAAAGTGTGACAGGAGACTCGTCAGCCTCTGGACGTATTCGGCGTTTCACGCCTGAAAATCAATAAATAGAAACGCTTCAACATGTTTCATCACATTTGACAAAAAGCCTGCCTGTTCTGATATCCGTGGCGAAAATGTCATTTCTTACAACTTGAGCAGTACTTAACGAATGATTGTAACCGGCTGTGAGTACAATGTAAGTGCCTCCCCATTCTAGAGATCTGTAACATTTACACTAGCTCACTAAACTATGGCATTCGAAGATACCGAAAATTACTTACTTTATTGGAGACGACTGCACGGTAAATTCACGGACTACGTCACAACTAAAGACATCGACAATATGCAGAACGCCAGAATGTGACCCTACAGCCACGAGATGCGCCGATCCGAACGATGCTTTATCTTAAAAATGGAAATAAATAAATCTGCTAGATGTGTAGAAAGCTGTAGCAACGGATGGTTCACCCATAGAATCGTCTCCTTCCTTCCCCAAGTCATCTATTGGTCGCATTCGCAAGCACGACACTCCCGATGACAACGCATCTAGAAAGCCCGTTTGCTGGATACTGGAATGACACGCGTAATGAAATTAGATTAAACGTATTTTGATGGTTGTGAACCGTGATTAAAAAGTTTTTTATTTGCCATTGCTCACTGGAATTCGTGTTCTTTTTTAATTAGGCTGATATATCAAGCCTTAGCGTGAAAGATTCATTGAACACGCGAACAAAATAAGATTAGTCAACCATTGATGGAATCACCGTAGTGATAGAACTCACCAAAGCCTTCCTATTGGGGTTGTGTTAAGAGTTCTGGTGAATGCTAGATTGTCATCGATGTAGGATCCTCGATATTCAAGCACGTTCGACTCTTCAGAGGTCTAAGATAATAAAAAAGAAGATCACTTAAGTACCAGTCGAGGGGAAATAATTCAAAAAAGCTTTTTTTTTGAACTTCACATAAGACCATACCAATTGCCAAAGGACGAGCCTTCCGCTGCTGAACAGGACTACTATAGAATTCTGAGTTACTGGACAGAGCGCTGCACCCACAGCTCTTTGCTGTGAGCCTTGCCGTTGGAAATCGGCAGAGGTTACCTAAACGGAACACACTTCCATAAAAAATTTGGAGCAGGTTTTAGACAAAAAACTCACTTTTTCTAAACCCAACTGTGCATCAGCTCTCTCATCATTCGATGAGAACGCGCCGACCCTCAACGAAACACTACCGTTGGCATGAACGGAGAAAAGCGCATCACGAGTGGAACAGCACAGCAAGGATATGAGATTGGGTTCCATATTTGTAGTAAAGAGTATTGCAAATAGCTCTGTGTGTAAGCAGTGTACCTAGAATAAAGAGAATGGAAAAATGGAAAATTCTTCAAGTTTTATACCACGGTAACCTATAAGTTCCGGTTCGCACTTACTTGTCCATGGCTGGCGGCAAATAAAAGGCTGCGATAAGCCTTGTGGTAACAAATGCTTTGGACACTGGACGCTGATTTTACTTGGTCATCACACAAAGTAACCGTCCGGCAGGAATTTGAGGGCACGTTGTTGAGGTTAACGTCAGCACACAACATTACACTGCATCCCAGTGACGAAACTGAAAACAGATTTCTTAGTGGTGGATCGAAGATTTCGTTGAAAGGCGAACTTACAAGCAACATGGCGAGTATTGAAAGGGTCAATGGCCATATCGAACAGAGGGGTTGTGTAGGTCACCGACCACATTTTTTCCCCATTCTCTGTGTTCCAAAGGATGAGACAATCACCGGAGTGCAATGACAATAGAAAATCTCGGCTCATATCCTTCCAAACGAACCATTTCATATCTATAAACGGAATCAAAGGCAGTGAGGAAACAAAGTCGAATGAAGGAGCCATAAATTGTTCAAACGCAAGAAACAAGTTTTAGCCAAACTCACTGAGAACATTTGAGGTAGCATGAGAAAACTGGCATCTTTTTGAAGCGCTAATGGGTTCCGAAATTATAATCTGGCCACTAATGTCCGAAGATGCAATTCGATGGTCATCGGCTCTCGTTTGTTCAATGATCGAGAATGGAGGTGACCAGCACACCTGCAAATCCACAGATGGGCAAAAAATTTGGGCAAAAAATTAAGGGATTTGACTCTGATGATACGATGAACGAGGAATACTCCATCCCACTGACATAAAAAAATGAATGATGATGAAACCAACGTGATCAATGGCAGTGCTGTGCAGGTCAATGGTTTGGACGCGTTTAAAAGTGAAAGCATCCACTACAAACAGCAAGCTATGTGATCCATAGGCGATAGCGCCTTTTGAGTTCCTAAAAGTAGAGTAGAGATGGCCATTATAAATATCATGACGGTCTTGGGAATAAAAAAGAAACAAAATTGTAATACAACAGCTAGAGAGGGGTAACAAAACCTTGGGAAATGTGACTGTTATCAAACGAACTATGGTTCAACCTCTGAACCTCAGAACTTTTACAACAACTCGGCGCACGTGAACCTTTCAGTGCATCAATCTCACAGCAGGCGTCAAACTTGGGAACGCGGCGAGTGGTGTTCACCTATGTTGATGAGGGCAAGGGGCTTGAAGTGAAAACTTGGGTACGTTTCAAACCAGGATTATCAGAAGATGAAAAAGATAAAGAAACGGCTTACCCACAGCAACGTAAGAGAGGGTCGAATTGTCGGCAAGGAAAATCCTCAAACGTTGTAGGAAACGTCAAACTGTACATCAAGAAGCGCTAGATTTAGGGGAAACATATTTCTGAGAGTTCCGAACATTGATTCGGGTCGTACAATTCCGATTTTGACGTTTTTGTGACATAAGTAATCATAACTTTCGAAACAAAACGCAATTATATATAACCAATCAAAAAGGGAAATTTTATAGTGAACTTACCAATCTATGGCATTCCGATTGCTAGGATGCAAAGCGCCTGGCAGTGTATTCGGCATTTCACGTCGTTCATGTGATGACCCTGAGGCGCATGGATTTCCCTGTGAAATCAGCATTTTTAAATGAGAACGGGGAGCAAAATGGCAATTTGAGTATCTCAAAAAATCGTGATCTACCCGAGACGATCGATTAAACGACAAAACCACAAGGAAAACACGACGACGTAGGCATTTCCACAGTTCAAAGGGCTACTATGTGTGTAGGCATTTTAAGATTACACTGGTTGGGTGGACACATTCGCAATGACGTTGAAAGCTGCGAACTTTTTACACCGCTACTCCATTTCAAAGGTCGACCGAGATTTTGCATTGAAAGGTGCTTTTTTCCTCTTCATTCCGTATGCCGTACTTCTTCTCTACATCTTTCGTTTTCACTTTCAGCTCTGAACACTAAACGTTTCTTTGACTTTCTTCAGAGATGGATAGGACTGTAGGGTCTTTTTATTGATGCATGCTTCAGTTTTGATTGATTTCTGTGCTTACTTTTTTGAGATTACAAGCAAGTGGCCGATGTCAGACTTTGCGATTGGAGCGATTGTGCACAAATTGCAGGAGCGATGGATCGCTTGAGCGATGCGAGCGACGGGAGATTACGGTATTCGGGGGGGTAATCTCCCGTCGCTCGCATCGCTCAAGCGATCCGTCGCTCCTGCAATTGGTGCAAAATCGCTCCAATCGCAAAGTCTGACATCGGCCAATGGCGTCCGTTTCTTGTCACATTTCCAGAAAGGAGAGCAAGAACTCTAGGCCGATGTCAGACTTTGCGAATCGCGCGATTCGCTAGCGTCCGCGGTCGCGTTGCGGTACCAGCCAATTGAGTGATTCACTGGCCGCGACGCGACCGCAGACGCTAGCGAATCGCGCGATTCGCAAAGTCTGACATCGGCCTTATGCTTTGAGGACCCAGCTTCTTTTATATAAATACTATGGTTAACTTTGAGCTAGTTCAGTACTAGTATATCAATAGAAGAATACTAAAATCGACACCGAGATCGAAATTGCGGACCCTTACGTTTTTATCCTGCACAAGAAGCTGTTGTTAGTGACAAAACTCCTATTTGTTCCTCACGTCCGAGTATAAAGAAATGGATGTCTCTCAAACGATAATAAAGGAAGGAAGTAAAATAAAAGTGAAGTGAAATAAATGTGAAAAAAAACAATGGCAAGAATTGCAGTGAGTCTTTGAAAAAGTAATGCTATTTTGACTTAAGATTCCTGATGGCAGTAAGATAGATAAAGCATATCAATTGCAAATTTAAAAAAAAGTGTTACCTGGAAGACTAAACACTACAATCATATGACAAAAGACTTTCCAAGAAAAAACTCGCCCGCTGAACTTTACACATTTCCCTCCCTGGCAAAATTTTGTCAAACTTCTCACAAAAAAGCTTATGCAATTTCCAAACGACATAAAACATGAAATCAATTCCCATTCAGCGAATCTTTTACTTCAGCTATATAGTGATGAAACGTGATTGATTCGTGGTCGGCCGCAAGCGAGATCGGTTTGTTGGAAAAAGACAAACATTGACATTAGAACAAAAGTACAAGGGAAACAGAAAAATACATGGAGAGCAAGTAGTTCAATACTTGTTTTTCATTTCGAAGGTCCTTCTGAAGCGAAAGATTGCATTCATAGAACTGCAACTGGATCGGCTCCTAATGAGATTTGGACTGAGCAGAACTCCATGAAAGTCAGTCGTTTCCCTTGAGCATGGATAAGAGTAGGACGTTTTTTCGTCCAGAGAGACAGGCGAGGAAAAGGAATCGTTGAGAAATGCCGTGGCGAACGGTGGAATTCCAGCTCGACTCTCGGCGGCGGCGGCGGTGTCGACGAGTCACTGCCTGCTCGCTTTGTTTGGCGAGCATCACTGACGACAGCGGAAAGATCGGAGACGCAGACACAGTGAAGTTCCATATTCAGCAGTTTTCCGCGATTGCTGCATAAGGCATAATGCTTCAATAATGCTAGATTTTTGATTAGTTTGGTTCCTCAAAGGGAAGAATCTCTTTTTTTCCTTCTTTTCACCATTTATCCCGCTTGCTGACGGGCCCGCTTTTTAGGATATTGACACCATTTTTCCCAACTGAATTCCTGATTGGGGTGGATATCAAACACCTATCTCCGAGACCACAAGCAACATATCAAGCCAACGGAAATAAGCAAGTCAGCCTCTTTGGCGTTTCTGCTGGGGCCGTATGCTGAATGTTGGGGAGGGGATGGGGTCCCCGACGGTCGACGGACTACTTCAACTCGGTCCTTAAAACCGCCTCAATTTGATGCTTACCTCAGGACTAAGCCTTAAAGAGAGGACGCGAGAGCGCAGGTCCGCCCTCTCTCCAAGGCTTAGTCCTGGGGTAAGCAAACCAGCCCTTTTGGCGGAGCTGCTGGACCTAGCTGCACCACTTCGTCATCACTCTCCTACCGTACCGACCGAGTTCAAGTAGTCCGTCGACCTCGGGGACCCCATCCCCTCCAACATTCAGCATACGGCCCCAGCAGAAACGCCAAAAGGGCTGGTTTGCTTACCTCAAGCCAAAGTTGCTTTGAACGTTCCCTGAGCGGCTTTCCGGCCACATCTACCCTCGCCTTCAAATGACCAGAAATTGTGCAATTGCAGAAATTGACGTGGCATTAACGTGGCATCGATTCAAGAACATCTTTGAGCACACGTGATGTCACCTTTTCATCGAGAATTTAGCCACGTGTGCCAATGCCACGTCAATTTCTGCAATTGCACAATTTCTGGTCATTTGAAGGCGAGGGTACGATAATTTAGATTTACGAAATCTGTATAGGTCAAAAAGCAGAGGTTAACGATGGTATGGTGGTTTGAAGCGACGTTTATGAGCAGCCTAGATTCTCGACTGGTCTTGTTGAGCCTTTAACAGCTCCACGGCCAGAAAAATATGATGGATAAAGCATTCAGTATTAATCAATTCTTTTTATGGGACCCCTCACGCATTCCATTATATCATAAACCCATTCAAAATGGGGCAATAGCATTTAATTGCCATTTGGCCCATACAATAATTTGAGGTGGTTAAGGGAAGGAGACTGTCGATTCAAAAATCAGTTTTATACTTACAGACGAGTCTGATACCTGTTAGAGTGTAGTCAACGATAGACTATCTTGTAAAGT